TTTCATGGTCAGAAAATAGTCATTCATGATATAACCCTCTGAAACAGTTTGCAAACAACTACCTGAACCTTTCATAATTCCTTTAAAGTTTAAATAGCATAAAATCATCGATTGAATGGTTAAAATATGGCATTTGCCTGGTTTTACTATGTTAAATGTTATATTTGATTATCTAAAAATCTAACCTTTTGTTTCTAAAATCGCGGGAAATTCACATCTTTGAAATCACAAGATGAATAACTACTCAGGCATTAAAAAATGTCCAAACGGGTTTTCAAGTCAAGAAAAGAAATTTGTGAATGATAAAACTTTATTTTTAAACTTTACAATGGGGCTTTAAACATTCAAGTCATATTGATGACTTATTTTCTAATTAGACTCCAGATTGAAAATCTGGAGTCTATTGCTTTTGACAGTTTTCTAATTATTATTCTTTCAGAATCTTCCTCCTTACAAGATTTCTCACCATTTAGAAGAGCTTACTTTAAGCTGCTTACATGATCAACTAGGGAATGTATCTGGGATGATGGGAAATTAAGTCAAATTTTTTTCTAGGTCAAAGGTCAAAAGTAGGGCAAATCTTGCATTTTCAACATTCTTTATCATATCGTCGTCAATATTCCTCGTTACTCCTTCATCTATATTTCATCTTGTAGGTTAGAAACAGCCCTTTCATAAGTATGCCATCCGTTTTTTGATTACTCTTAGCGATTTTGAGATATGGCGTCCGGAACGTAGACAAAGGTTGCCAAACTTATTTAGGGGAGTGTAAATCACATTCCAGGTATTTTTCAATTTGTAAAATAAAATATTGAAGCCATGGATTAACATTAATTTAAACTTATCTAGCATTAATGTCTTCATTAATTGATGATAAACAATCAGTGGATGGCGACAACAGTACTTTTCAATTTATCCGTAATAATAACAAAGCAATTGTCTTGCCCATTCGATAAATCGTTATGGTTACATAATTCAACTTTATATATGCATCCTGATCAATGAAACGGTTTAAGTCAAAATAATATCAGCATTTTTTTAATATCTATTTTCATAATAAAAAGTGTAAAATGATGTTTTATTCAAATTAAAAGCATTAGAAATCCATATAGATTGAAATAAATCTTTTTTTGTAATTAAGATCAATTTAATCTTATGAATTGTTTTGATGATTTGGCCAGTTATTTCGTTTGTTTGTTTCATTCACATGCTTCGTTGAGCAATGACGCTTGGCTGTTGGTGAGATCTTATATCATCACAACAAGGGGATTTTAATTCGTTAAATTAAATATTTTATCTCTAGAGGTAAAAAATGATGGCCATCAGTGGATCTCGAGGTAGACTCTCGATGTAATCAAAAATTCAAGTCACAACTGTCAAAAGGATGGGTGTCATTAAGTGCCCTTTTTAGCCCCCAAAGATATCTGATAATAATGCATATCATATTGAAGAAAAATCATTTGTGCTTTATAAAAATACAATTTCAGCAAATTTTGACCTTGGATGTTCACACTACAGTAATTTAAAGATCATGTACCATTTTTGGTGTTTTTACAAAAATGTCTTTATCTATTGTTGTCTAAGTAAATAACATATATGTATAAACCAATTTAAATGTATTAAAATGTAAAATATGAAATACTGAAGAAAAGATACGATTAAAACTATTTTCATGGAAAAACACATAGGGCAATATTGGCAAAATGCAAAAGCTATTTTTGGTAGGTTCTGGGCTAGCAATGGGTACATTTCAACTGTAACTGTAATGGATTACTATTGACTTTTATCAACATCACAGGGCATCATTTAAGCAACTTAACTACAATTTTAAAACGAGGAACAAAAGCATGAATTCATAGAAAAGAAATGATGGCCTGTGCCAAAATATAACATATGAGAAAGTTGTGGCACAGTAAAGGATATGTATAGGATATCATATGATTTTAAATGAGTTCATCTTTATCCACGAGTTGAGATCAATATCTTGCCAAGTTAGTATAGCGAATTAGCGCAGATATTAATATCAATGAGTGGATTAACACGATGTCATGCAAATGCAAAGGATGTTCTATTTATCCCATAGTTCACCTTTAAAACTAAACAAAACAATCAAAACATATCCATTCATTCATTCATCCCCGTGACGTCATGAAATCACTATGTAACAAAACACATCATATTGGTGGTAGTTTTCAAATCCCTGGCAAAAGGTGATATCTGTGAAATATTTTCCGTATTCTACAGCTATCACTTTTTCCACGCATTTGCAAAACTTCATAAATATGTGTTCATGTTACCTAACAGAGCGGTACAGAGTTCAACTATTGGATAAAAAATAACAAATAGGTAAATAATTGAATTACCACTCCAAAAAGATTAAATATGAGGGTTTAAGGAAAGAAGATTGAATAAGAAATTGAAAAAGAAGCAACTCATGTCTCACATTACCCAAATCCCAGATCCTCGATGTCATATCGATATTAATGTTATTTACAGGGAGGATTAAATATGGAGTGCATAGCAATGGTCATTATATACTTCAAGAGGGAATATCTTTTTCTCTAGAATTGGAACCCTAACTCAGTCATAACATGGAAGCTAACTTTTGCAATTAATAGAAATTTGTTTTTTATTATGTTTGTGTTCTATATTTGAGATTCATTTCTACAAGAGGATGTAATGAATGTGAACTTGTATATTGAACTATACTCCTTTTCTGAATAAATGGAACAACATTTTATCCAAGCCAATTAAGAAAACCAAGGCCAATGAGTTAAAATTCAACACGTTTGAAATTAGAGTTGAATTATTTTATTTCCGATTGATATAACATCTTGGCGTTAGTGAAATCGAACGCGATTTCAACTGATTGGATAACATGATGTGATCATGAGTAGGTTATGTGAGTGGATGCACGATGGGATCGTGTTATTCTGCGAGTAGCAACCGAAGCGTTTATACACAGTTTTAGGCTGTCTTCGAAAACTAATACTGTGATATCTATCCCCCGCTGTTAACAATATCGACGTTGTTCGAAAACTGTAGCGAGAGCTCTCGAGAACATTGATATGTCGTGTCTGTGTCGATTCTAAATCCGCGGTTCCAAATATTTACCACGATTTTTCTCCCTCCATTTCTAAGTATTGACCTGGAAGTTCATGAGTCAAAGGTCACCCAAATATCGGCCCTCGATAATGTGTCAGTAATTCGTCGTGTCTTTCCATTGTTACTGAAAAATCCCGCAGGGATAATGGATTTTTAAGTAGAGAATCCGACGGGAACGCGGAGGGTCCCCGCGTCCGAGTCGATAGCTGGAGATGGTGAAACATTATGAAAGATTATGAAAAATTATGTAAGAGTATGCAACTAATCATTGCTAATAGGTACGCGTACTAGTTTTCAAAGGCCGTCTTAGTTAATGTTGTAAGTTGGCATACAACCGATTCGAAAATTTAGTTTTATTGTTCGAGGAGGCATACCTTTTTCCCTTTCGAAAGTCACAAAGATTTTGATCTGGGTTTTAACGGTGTCAGGTCGATAAACTAAAGTTTTTCATATTGAAGTCAATGAACACTTTTTTTAGTGCTATTGACCATATTAACGTTGACAACTATCGTCTGACCATTGGAGGTTTTACAGGAACTTTGGGGAACAGTATGGCTTTCCATAACGGTCAACAGTTCTTTACATATGACTCTGATAATGACTTACATGGAACTCTAAATTGCTCTGTACATCTCAAAGGTCCATGGTGGTATAAGGACTGTCGTAGTGCTAATCTATTTGGTATCTACTCAAAGGGACCAGTTTGTCCTCGGGTTGGTTCATGTGTTACGTGGAAAGATTGGGGCTCTGTTATTGGTACCCCAGACAATAAGTATTACTCATTCAAAGAGGCATCGATGAAGATATATCGTATTATCTAAATTTTGATTAAATCTTGTCCATTGTGATATGTTTCTTGACAGTTCGAAAAAATAAATGAATCATCAAAATGTTAATTTTAAATAGTCTTGTTAAATGGAAATAGTCTATTCATTGTAACATATACATTGTAACAAATCTACATCTCTTTAACAAATGATGAGGATGATTGTATTTTTCTGTCTTGCATTTTTCTAAAATTGTCTTCCCTGCGATTGCCAGCATACTTATCTGATGCAACTTCATGTTATCCTGAATTGTGTGCAAAAATTGACCTAAAATGATCTAATGGCCTATAAAAATGTATAAATTACTTGTAATATTTCAAAATTGGGACGGCTGGGCAGAATATGTGATTGGTTGAAAATCACTAAATGCAATTCTCAACAGAGGGGGAAAACATTATACACTGTAATTATAAAGCAAGTCTATATTAATTCCAAAAAACATTATTCTGGTGTTTAAATAAAAAGTGCAACGATCTATCATAACCAAAGATGGCCGAACAAAATTCCGATGCTTCATAGTAAGGACGTCTCGCAAAAAGGTGGCGCATTTGTTTTTAAGGGTATCGCGTGAATGTAACTTTGATTCCCCGGATTATAAGATAATATTCTAATTTTAAGTTATATATCATTTTAAAGCTGTTTCGATGAAGTTTTTAGATCAACTACACTCCGTTCACGATTCTTGCGCGTTCTTTTTTAAAAAAGAGTTTTTTACCAAAACATCTGGCAACACACTTTCATGAAAAAGTTGCCCCGGGTATTGTGATGTCATGTTACTATAGTAACCATAACTCTATCCACATTTAATTATTTTTTCTGAGACTTTATAATCTTAGTTGCAATACTTCAAAGTACAATTTGTGAAAATTTGAAGACACTCAGTGCAGAATTGACAAAATGCCAGCACCAGCCCTGTTACTTTTGGAACACCCTGTATACTACATGTATATTTGGACAAATACAATGAGAGCACTTTACAGATACAACTATAAACTATTTGCGTCGTCCTTAAGCTTTAGAAGCTATGTATACAGAAAATAATTTAATATATATAAACATTAAACGAAATGCTATGAATCAGATTTATTACTTAAGCTTTTTGTATAAATGATTTTACAATAAGACTAGTCAAATCAAAACCTGGTCATCTAGTAAGGTTTATTCCTATTGTATTGATGTTTCCACTATTGGTTGCTTGTCTTCTGCACGCATTTTCTTTGCTTTGTATTTAGGCCAAGCAAAAGCAAAGAAGGCCCCAAGTCCAATCACAAGAATAACTACTGTTAATCCTATTGCTGCAAACGCTCCTAAAAACAATAAGTAATGTGAAATAAATAAACACAAGGAACACAAGCGTCTCGAACTCGCAACCTCGTGGTTACGGCGCCCAATCGCCTAGCCCAAACATGCCGGTGTGAAAGAAATCATGGTCCCCCAGGGATTATGGTCCCCTTTCTTAACGGCCCTTACTGGCCCTGATTGCGTATAAGATAATGAGGGAAAGAGTTGTATTAAGGTCACCATATAAATCAATGGAGAGTAGGACCATAATTTGATAGGACCTCCTACCCTTTTACACCGGCGCTCAAGCGCTCTCGGCCAACGTGACAACCCCAAAAAAAGAAAATATAGGATATTACACACGGAAATACCAAATATGCACTCTGTACTTTAACCCTAGGTGGCATTTGCGAAATCATTTGACGGCTGACGGATTACACTGTTTTTATGGACAATTCATTTGAATATGAAAAGTATCTGCTACTATTCATATTTAAATAGCCCTACATTAGCGTTTAATCTGTCAGCCGATAGCCGGTGGTTAAATTAACGAATGCTAGTTTAGATGATTTTATATTGCCTACCTGCTGTTACCCCAGATCTGTCCTCGGTACTATACACTATTCTCCCATTTAATGACTGAATCTTACGAAAGTTGTTTGCTAGTTGGCGATTTTGTCCACTGTCATTGTCTCTATATGTCAGCGATCGGAACACAGAAAGCTGCAAAATGATATATTATACGTCATTGATTTTTATGTTTCTTTACATGGTTCATCATAGTTTGTTGGGGATATTTGGATTTGCTTTCCTTTTTGTTTGGTTGTGTACTCCGGGTTGTACTTGTTTCATTTCTTTCTCTGTTTTTACACTTTTTGTGCATTCATATTTAGGGGTTACTAGAGGGCTTGCAAGAGAAGAGCGTGCGCGTGGGTTTGACTAAGTAAATAAGGTGAATTACCCAGATTCGAGAAGGCAGTTACCAGTTTCACCACCAGGTGGCTGATTCGGATAAATTGGGATGGCAAGGTATTTGAAAGTTCCCTTTAACTTGAATAGTCACTAGTTTTAGTGGTTCAATTCCATATTGCCCGCATGTATCTGATAGCGAGTTATATAAATTAAAATATGTCTAGTAAAAGAAAATATTATCTGCCCAACAAAAGAAGATATTTCACTTTTTGTGATTTTATGGGGTCTATGGGGAATCTCCCCGACCTAGCAGTCACATTTTCAAAGAAAATTGAGTTTTTAAAGTTGGTAAATACTTTTTTTAAACCACATTTCTAGAATAGCAATTTTTTATGTAGAATTCAAATATGATGTCCCTTTAACTTAATTTTAAAGATTTAATGAAGTAAATCAAGATTATTTCTACTCGCACCTACTAGTGTATTCAATAGTGTTTAGTTTGCACTGTTTGTAGATCTATTAACTTAATTAATGGATTGATACGTAAATAGTGGTGGATCCAGGGGGCCATGCCCCATGCCCCCCCCCCCTGTAGTGGGCCCAGACAAATAATTTAAGGCCTCAAAAAGTGGCCTTCTTTGGGCGTAATTTGGCCTTTTTGGTAATTATGCCTTTTTTAAGCCAAATCTTCAAAAATGACCCTTAAATGGTCCCAATTATTGATTTTGAGGGCCCAAATTTTTTCCGCGCATTCCTCACTGACAATTCCCCCCCCCCCCCTTGTCAACTTCTGGATCCGCCACTGTACCTCCTAACCTTACCTGTCTCTCGGAAACTTTCACGGTCTCTTTGAATACAGTCCAAACGACCGTTTCTAAACAAGGAGGTGTCGTTAAACTACCATAGTAACGATAAAATCGCTTCAAGTTCCGAGGTAAAAATTTTGATAGCATAAAATATGAAAGAGTGGTTTCCTGTCCCTGTGTCTTGATTAATGACAACGCCTGGATGAGTGGCTGTAGGTCTGCATTATCTTCGGATGAGACCTGGAAAAAAAGAAATGTGATATTTACACATGTGAGATGATATACTATGTCTATTCTATGAAATTAAAACCAAAAATACCTCACACCGTCATATTGATCGTTGTAAGATGATTGAAATGGTTTTCAAAATTGATCATACTTTCCAAGCAGCGCACTCTACCAGCTACTATTATGTACTAAATGGTGTCAGTTTGATTTTATGATACTCACTAATGTACCGGGTTTATCAAATGCTTCCGCAACAATACATGCTTATTCATACAATAATGTATCCAATTGATCAATTGCTTTTGAGGCAATGTATGCTTGTATCAAGCATTAATGTACCAGATTGATTAATTGCTTTTGAGGCAATGTATGCTTGTGTCATGCATTAATATACCAATTGATTAATTGCTTTCGTGGTGATGTATGCTTGTGCCATGCATTAATATACCAATTGATTAATTGCTTTCGAGGTGATGTATGCTTGTGTCATGCATTAATGTACCAGATTGATTAATTGGTTTTGAGGCAATGTATGCTTGTATCATGCATTAATGTACCAGATTGATTAATTGCTTTTGAGGCAATGTATGCTTGTGTCATGCATTAATATACCAATTGATCAATTGCTTTCGAGGTGATGTATACTTGTGCCATGCATTAATATACCAATTGATTAATTGCTTTCGAGGTGATGTATGCTTGTGTCATGCATTAATATACCAATTGATTAATTGCTTTTGAGGCAATGTATGCTTGTGTCATGCATTAATATACCAATTGATCAATTGCTTTCGAGGTGATGTATGCTTGTGTCATGCATTAATATACCAATTGATCATTTGCTTTCGAGGCAATGTATGCTTGTATCAAGCATTAATGTACCAGATTGATTAATTGCTTTTGAGGCAATGTATGCTTGTGACATGCATTAATATACCAATTGATTAATTGCTTTCGTGGTGATGTATACTTGTGCCATGCATTAATATACCAATTGATTAATTGCTTTCGAGGTGATGTATGCTTGTGTCATGCATTAATATACCAATTGATTAATTGCTTTTGAGGCAATGTATGCTTGTGTCATGCATTAATATACCAATTGATCAATTGCTTTCGAGGTGATGTATGCTTGTGTCATGCATTAATATACCAATTGATCATTTGCTTTCGAGGCAATGTATGCTTGTATCAAGCATTAATGAACCAGATTGATTAATTGCTTTTGAGGCAATGTATGCTTGTGTCATGCATTAATATACCAATTGATTAATTGCTTTCGTGGTGATGTATACTTGTGCCATGCATTAATATACCAATTGATTAATTGCTTTCGAGGTGATGTATGCTTGTGTCATGCATTAATATACCAATTGATTAATTGCTTTTGAGGCAATGTATGCTTGTGTCATGCATTAATATACCAATTGATCAATTGCTTTCGAGGTGATGTATGCTTGTGTCATGCATTAATATACCAATTGATTAATTGCTTTCGAGGTGATGTATGCTTGTGTCATGCATTAATATACCAATTGATCATTTGCTTTCGAGGCAATGTATGCTTGTATCAAGCATTAATGAACCAGATTGATTAATTGCTTTTGAGGCAATGTATGCTTGTGTCATGCATTAATATACCAATTGATTAATTGCTTTCGTGGTGATGTATACTTGTGCCATGCATTAATATACCAATTGATTAATTGCTTTCGAGGTGATGTATGCTTGTGTCATGCATTAATATACCAATTGATTAATTGCTTTTGAGGCAATGTATGCTTGTGTCATGCATTAATATACCAATTGATTAATTGCTTTCGAGGTGATGTATGCTTGTGTCATGCATTAATATACCAATTGATTAATTGCTTTAGAGGCCATGTATGCTTGTATCATGCATTAATGTACCAATTGATTAATTGCTTTCGAGGTGATGTATGCTTGTGTCATGCATTAATGTACCAGATTGATTAATTGGTTTTGAGGCAATGTATGCTTGTGTCATGCATTAATGTACCAGATTGATTAATTGGTTTTGAGGCAATGTATGCTTGTATCATGCATTAATGTACCAGATTGATTAATTGGTTTTGAGGCAATGTATGCTTGTGTCATGCATTAATATACCAATTGATCAATTGCTTTCGAGGTGATGTATGCTTGTGTCATGCATTAATATATACCAATTGATTAATTGCTTTCGAGGTGATGTATGCTTGTGTCATGCATTAATATATACCAATTGATCAATTGCTTTCGAGTTGATGTATGCTTGTGTCATGCATTAATATATACCAATTGATTAATTGCTTTCGAGGTGATGTATGCTTGTGTCATGCATTAATGTGCCGAATTGATCAATTGCTTTCGAGGCGATGTATGCTTGTTTCATACAATTATGTACCAAATTGATCAATTGCTTTTGAGGCAATGTATGCTTGTATCATGCAATAATGTACCGAATTGATCAATTGCTTTTGAGGCAATGTATGCTTGTATCATACAATAATGTACCAAATTGATCAATTGCTTTTGAGGCAATGTATGCTTGTGTCATACATTAATATACCAATTGATTAATTGCTTTCAAGGCGATGTATGCTTGTTTCATACATTAATGTACCGAATTTATCAATTGCTTTTGAGGCAATGTATGCTTGTATCATGCATTAATGTACCATATTGATCAATTGCTTTCGAGGCGACATATGCTTGTTTCATACAATTATGTACCAAATTGATCAATTGCTTCTGAAGCAATGCATGCTTATTTAATACATTAATCCAAATTGTAAGAAAATGTATGTTAAATACACATCGAGTAATAAGTGAACCCAGGAGGGGAACTTAAATACCTCAAAAAGAACAGATACCGCTGCAATCATCTCTCTGTCTTTAACCTGATCCATCAAATCGTAAACGATGTGCATCTGAAACAAACAAGAACTGTTAAAAAACAACCAAGTTTCACACCCGTCTCACGAAGCTTTAGAACCAATTGTTGACATGTCGTGGATCTTTCGGTAGATACTGTTATGGAGCGATATTTCCCTCTGTTTGGTAATTTGAGATACCACGCGGTGATGTGCGCCAGATATAAAGTGCAAGACACGAGGTACCTCGATCATAGATTCAAAATTCAAAATAGATGTTCATGAGACCAGATTTAAAGTGTCTCACATATTCGATCAAAACTTGCCATGCATACATGTTAGTCTACTTTACTGGCCCCCCTTGCTGTAACAAGGAACCCAAAACACATTAAAACGTAAACATAAACCAATTAGTGACTTCACTATGAAAGTGAGGGGTGTTAGCAAATGTGTATTAGCAGAATACGCTGTGTGCATGGACTAACACAATATCAGTGGTCATTTACTGTGTCAACTTAGTAACCCTTGCATATCGTGCTCACTCAAGTATTGAACAATTTGTTATGATCTAAATGTTTGTGGTTTATAAAAAAATGTGATATATTTTAGTTAGAAATACATTAATTAATATATTCATTCAAACAGCACTAGAATGCGGGAAAAAAGAGCAATGGTGACAAAATGCAGACAGAATTTTCCGTAAGGGTTTCAAACATTTCTGAACACAATCATATATGTACTTCATGTGTACTGTTATTTTTAGTGCTGTATTTATAGATATAATCTCACGTATTAAAATCATATTTTCCAGCAATGACTTCAAATTCGGAACCACACCCATATCACATTTTCTTCAATAACTCCAAACATGTGTAAACATTGACCATGTGCATATAAATTCAGATTTCACGAGCTCTTTCCTATTCGAGTACCTCATACACCCCTGCATGGATTTGAGTTGGATTCGCCTTTTATACGTGAGCCGGCACACTCGCAAACGCTGATTGGATAAAGATTGCGAGAATCTTTAAAAGAAAAAAAAATATTACTTAAGTTTGTCTATAAAAAGAAACAATAGAATATCACATGGTGGAGCTGCCGGTAGATCAATTGCACATGTTGCTTTCAAAGAAACAATAGAATATCACATGGTGGAGTTGCCGGTAGGTTAATTGCACATGTTGCTTTCAAAGAAACAATAGAATATCACATGGTGGAGCTTCCGGGTACAATATTTGAAATTACAGGGAATACATACAATATTTAGATCAATTGCACATGTTGCTTTCAAAGAAACAATAGAATATCACATGGTGGAGCTGCCGGGTACAATATTTGAGATTACAGGGAATACATACAATATTTAGATCTATTGCACATGTTGCTTTCAAAGAAACAATAGAATATCACATGGTGGAGCTGCCGGGTACAATATTTGAGATTGCAGGGAATACATACAATATTTAGATCTATTGCACATGTTGCTTGCAACATTGCCATTAAGTTATCTCAAAAGTATAATTATACTAATACACTGACCTCTAAAGGAAACTGACGACCATCTACCCGATGATCAGAGCCTCTTGAACTATCTGATCCCCAGTGAAAATGCATCTGATCGGCTAGGTACTTTCCTGGCAGGTTGCCTCTTGATAGCCAATATTCACCAGCAGACCGCAGATCAAGGAACACTGAAACGGGACATTTAGATTCGTTACGACATTCGGATATATTTATCCAGAGTGAAATCTCAGTGATCATTTGCTCAGTTATGTTCAAAGACCATCTTCCCACGTTACTTATAAAGGGCATCCCCTTTGGCTATCCATTTATCATACCTGATCGTCCCATATTTGTTACTTGTACATCTCTCATGGTATCGTAGTCCTCCATAGATAGCAGGTCCAGGTTGGGTGCATACAAGAGAGATGAGACTTTAATGTCTATGGGACTCTGCATGTTAGACTTGCATTGTGGACATAGTATGCTCCATTTGTCTTCGCCAAGGCTACCTCTGTATTGCCAGTCGGCAGTACATGTGTCACCCACTGGAAAAGATGCGGTAGGTTAGGTTACATACAAGAGAGACGAGCCTTTAATGTCTATGGGACTCTGCATGTTAGCCTTGCACTGAGGGCAGAATATGTTCCATTTGTCTTCCCCAAGGCTACCTCTATATTGCCAGTCGGCAGTACATGTGTTAACCACTGGAAAAGATACGGTAAATTAGGTACATACAAGAGAGACGAGCCTTTAATGTCTATGGGACTATGCATGTTACACCTAGCACTAGTATGGTAAAGAGGGAAAATTGAACTTGCAAAAAATCTGATTGGATTTTTTTTATAATATTTCTTAATAATATTTGCTTTGTTTGGAGACTCTGCGAACTGCATTCAATTTTTTCCGGCTGCTAAGAGAGTATACGTATGGGCTTAAATAATTTAGTTATGCTGACTGAAAACAAGAAACTCTAACAAGAAATCACCAACATCTCATGGAGTATTTTGGCTTAACTCCTTTAAAACACATTCTCACTTACACTTACCGGTTGTTGTGAAAATTGACCAGCACTGTGGTACATTAAGAAGCAAAATTAACCTCAAAGTAGGGAAATTCTGCATTTTCATGATGTCCAGTTTGTGCACGTAAGTAAATCCCCGGTATTCCAAGACTATTGTGTCATATGCATGTCATTTCAATTCTGTAGACAGCATATAGCGTTCCTAAGATAATGAGCAAGAAGTTTAAAGAATAACAAAAATGGCAATTCTAAACCTCGTATTTATGTTTGGAAATGATGCATCTCATATTTCACAGCAGCAAAAACTTCAATGGAAACTTTGAGTTTGGATCATGCAGTGTAACCTAATTCTAAACCTCCCCTTACATTCAACTCTCATAATTAAGTGACAACTAGTAAACATGTACAAAACGAGATTGAATTCAGGTACACGTATTCCTATTGGCGTTGAGTGTAAGATAAGTCTGTGAAGTTGTAAAAACAATGGATGTGTTATTGTCCATTATTCATTAACTAAGTATAAACAACCCAGAAGACAATAAGAATCGGGGGCGGATCCAGGAACCAAAAAGTGGGCCCAACTTTTGAAAATGTAAGGCCCATTTTCCTGATAATTTGGCCTAAAATTAAAAATAAGGTCTTAAAGGCCCGGCATTGCCCAAAAAGGCCCATTATACGGGCCTTTAAAAAAGTTTTGGGCCCAAAACATTTTTGGACCAATTTTACTTTCTGGGCCTACCCATGGGGGGGCGGGTGAGAATATAGTACAGATGACGATATTGGATCGAGTTTTAGGTTTATGCAGGGTGGACCAAAACATGGGACATTCCAATATTATTATATGTGCGTATTGTGTGAAGCAAATGCCATGAAAATTGAGGAGTATATAAAGCTTTTATGTCATATTGAATGAAATTTAAAGTCAAACGATGCATGTTCTAATTATACTTGTACACCCCATTGAATCTGATCGAATTGTATTCACTACAATTGTTATTTTTACATTGTATTATAATGTTCATTAAACATTTTTAATCCCAATGTTCAAGTATAGGTAACAGGACAACTCATCCCTAAGACAACTCATCCCAAGACAACTCATCCCCAAGCAACTCATCCCAAGACAGCTCATCCCAAGACATCTCATCCCAAGACATCTCATCCCAAGACAACTCATCCCAAGACATCTCATACCAAAACATCTCATCCCAAGACAACTCATCCCCAAGACAACTCTTCCCAACTTGAAATATAACATAATTTTATACAATTAATTTCAACTTTTGAAAGAATATTTGAAACATGTTTAGAGGTTTTAGCAGTAAGCACACTGTGTTTGGCCATGGAATGTATTTTGTATTTTGAAGTTAGTTTAGTCTAGTTTCAGTTAATTTTTGTTGATTGATTGGGATAAAGATAAACATGCTCAAATTAATATATACTTTGATCATTAAATCAAAGATCATCAAGGGTGTCAGATTAGGATTAACGCATAAGAATGTATTATCCGGGGTATTATCAGAATAATTCTCCCAGATTAATTCAGTCTTTGTTTTAAAATGTTTTGCTTAATTCCAATATGTCATATAAATAAGATTTCCAATTTTAAACTTTCAAAATCATGATGATTGAATTTGGAAACTATGTCTTTGACTTTTATCTTCAATTCTATATTCTCAAATATATTGAGAATTTGAGAATAACCCAGAATTAATAAAAAATACCGGTACGTAAAAATAGAACATAACTTTCAAGTGCCATTTCAAAATGCTAAAAATTATCAATATTAAGATTGAGTGTATAATCACTTTGTAATCGTAAAAATGAAAAAGGGAAATATATAATATAGAGGACAAATTAGATAATTTATCAATTATACTAGTGGGATGAGTTGTCTTGGGATGAGATGTCTTGGGATGAGTTGTCTTGGGATGAGATGTCTTGGGATGAGTTGTCTTAGGGATGACTTGTCTTGGGATGAGTTGTCTTAGGGATGAGTTGTCTTGGGATGAGTTGTCTTGGGATGAGTTGTCTAGAAACCCAAGTATAGGACTAGGAGAAAACGGATGACGAAGGTGGATGTGTTCTAAACTGAACCAAAACCACCAATTCGTTTTTGATCATTTGAAAAAAATTATATTATAATTTCATGCGAAATCGAGCATCTCGCTCATTTTTACCATGAGATCTCCTCATACAGCTTTTCTCAGGCCCTCTTTTTCTAAATGCCCAAATCAACTTTTCTCAATTATTTTTATATTGGTTTTCAACCTTCCAAAATTCCACTTTATTTAATAAAAATGTAAATTTGTTCCTTCAAACACCATCCTGTAATTTTGCATTCAGACTACTGGTGTTTAATCTTCAATTCAATCTTACAGATATCCAAGAAAATTTATTCTAGGACGAATTGCAGAATAGTTTCGTTTAAAACCAGAAATTTTTTTTTTAAAACTTAAAAGCCATGCATTATTTAAAAGTTACTGCCAAATTAAAAACATGTACAATATTTTGTCCCACCCTATATAAAGTTAGTATGGAAAACAGATCTGCAGTATCATGTACAAGTTCTAGTGTACAAATATGTGAAATGAATTTTATATTTCAGAATAATTGTTAAAGACCACTACAATACTTGTATTTTGGGTAAAGTCTAATACGTTAGATTGTTTAAGTGTATTTGTCATGTATTGCATCCCACCCTTTCCATGGATGCAGGTTAAGGAATAATTCATGGCATTTAGAAAAGTTTGCATATTTTGGCCCACCATGTGGACACAATATCCCATATATTTCAATTGAAGCTTAAAATGAACTTACACTTCTTATCACAAATATAAATCTGCATAATATTTTTCATCATATATGGATGGACATAAAGAAAGTGTACTCAAATAATCAAAGAATTCAGAATTTTCATGAACTGCATGTATTATATTTAAATAAATATTTTACACATAAAAGTACATGACAACATATTTTCTGTTGTTCCAATGTAAACAAAAATATTTCAACTGAGAGACACTAATTTCTCCCTTTTTTCTCTCTTTTTTAATTCTCTTGGATGTGTGTTTGATTGCTTTTTGCATGGGTTTACAGGCATTAGGCAGGGGAGGCAACTGGCTCACCAACATTTTACAGAAATTTAAATTAATTAAAATTCAGACGAAATTCAAGTCAAAAGATAGTAGTTATATATCCCTTTTAGCCTTTGGCCTCGCCTTTTTACATTTGCCTTGCCCATTTTTTCAGGCTGCGTTGCTGACTTGAATGCTAAATTATGACATGGTGTTTTCTGTTACACTAAAAAAATATGTTTGTTGTCTGGTATGCTCCACACATATAACGTTACATAAAAGTGCACTTCAACATATTTTTTGCTATTCAAAGCTCAAATATTTCCACTGACAGACTCTTATTTCCATTCTATTGAATGTGTGTGTTTGACTGGTTTTAAGTACAGTAGTTGATGGGTCCAGTTTTCAATTACAGAACAACCAGGCCCTTAGCCAGGGGGGGGGGGGTTCGCAGGGTTCTTTCAAATTCATGCAGTTTTTCACCATTTTTAGCACTTCTTAAGTGATTTTAACCATATTTGGGCCAAAATTGTCAAATGTGAACCCCCCTGGAAATTTTTGAAAACTGAACCCCCCTTGGCAAATCCTGGCTACGGGCCTGACAACTCTACTTTGACAGGCTTCTTTATTCAACTACCATAACCTGTATTTTCTAAAGAAAATTTAAAATTACAATATTTGGTAATATGTTACGCATATAACTTCCTATTCAAAGCCCAAATGTTTCCATCCAGACTTATTTCCATTCTATTGAATGTGCGTTTGACTGGTTTTTAGTACAGTGGTTGATGGTGTCAAGTCTTCACTTATAGAACAGCTCTTCTTCAATGGGCTTCTTTATCCAATTACCATAACCTGTATTTTCTATTACACTAAATAAAATCCGTTTTGTTGTCTGGTAATCCTTGTTCATCATTTTGGCTTCATAATAGTTTTTGGCATCAAGGAGTTTATATCTTTTTGCTAATTTAGCTAGTTCTTTAAACCTGTGGTAAAATCCCATCTTGCAGAGTCTACTAGCACCTGATGCACTTGTCCTAAATGGGGACCTGAATACGAAAGAGAAAACAATATCAGAGTAGTGTATAGGCAGCAGGGGTTTCATTAGTAGAAGACAACAGGCGATTTTCACCAGTTGTTTTCACAAAATCGCCTGTTGATTTTAGGGACTTTTCAACTTTTCCATGTTAAATTTATGATTTCCATTAATATTGCCTGTTGTTTTCATTTATTTAGCCTGTTGTGAGAAATTCTAGTGAGACCCCTTGGCAGGATCATAAACGTGGTGAGGCAAATGTTAAAAGGTGAGGCAAATCTAGGATGAAAGAGGCAAAGTAAAACCTCACCTGATTTGAATGCATCCGGTAGTGGCCAAAAGTGTTCAGATTAGCAGGTGTTCACATTACAAGGTTTTCTTAACATGAACATCTTTGGGAGATTACAAATTTGGACTCAAAACAAGTGTTCATGTTGAAATGTATTCAGATAATTCATGGAAGAGAGGTGTTTGGATATACAGGTTTCACTGTATAATTTACTTCCTTTTGAGTTTAATTTCATAGTCGAAAAAATATCCGAAATGATATATTTCTGTAAACACTTCTGTAAATGTCTATCTATTGAGATGACATAAATCATGCCATTTTCCTATTAATACCATTGGAAAGATGAATGTCAACTAAATCTGACCTTCTTTCAAAGATTTACTAGTTGCTCAGTTGTCTCATTAACCATTTCATTACCAGGGGGTAAATTTAGTAAAATATTGAATTATTTTAACACATATTTTGACGAATTCCAAAACGTAATAAAATTGCATTTCTCCGAACAACCATATGATGATCTTGTTCAGGAATGAATTATTCTGATGGAGCACAGTGGCCTCACCTTGGTGTGCTTTTCCCTATCCTTGCATCTACGACTTCAACCTTGTCATCTTCGTGAGACCAGTTTATGCTTAAAGTGTTGGATTTTTCAACGTCCCTGGATGGATCGTAATGAGTGACACGTCCTACATGCGGATGTGACAAATAAAAACCACTGTTTGGTGGTACCTGAAAAGAAGCGCATATAGCTAAGTCCCCATGATAGTAAAATATCAATCCAACTCTCTGAAAAATTATGGATTAGGGCCCCACCCTGGCACTTTTTAAAAAGAGGATCTTGCTTTTCTCAATTTAAACATATCAAAAGTTTCTTCTACACTATATGGACAATTTCTGAAAAGGGGATGCGTATTGAAATGCGTTAAATAGTGGCCCGATTTAAATGTCTTGAAGAACCATATACATTGTATTTGTGTGATATTATTGTGGTCGAGTCAGGCCACAAAAAAATTGTGCGAGTCAGGTAATTACAGGTTGGATTAGAAGAAACCAGAAAAAATGAATATGACTTAACCACAGTGCCATTTAGTACTAAAATGACTGGGTAAATACATGGCAGATTACAAGCCTGTTTATGATTGTTCAAAGATATTTACCTGGTGAGTGAGTTCATCAGGTAGACGGCAGCATATTGCACGTGTAAGATGGCCATGATCATATAAAGAGCCTGAAATACATGAAGCAACATTCAAGAAGAGACCTTTCCGATGAACCCTGCCCCCTTTTGATACATCAGAGGAACTTTGATATATTGGCTAGATTGATGATGTCATCAGTTGTAGGTAGCAATCTGTGTAAGCAAAAATATGAGAACCTTTTGCTAATTTTGAAAGTACAACATATGACATCATCAATCTAGCCAATATATCATAGTTTCTCTAATGAATAAAATATTTGTTTTACTATTCATTGGTTTGTTTTTCAGTTACTTAAAAATGAACAAGGAATATGGGGAATACTCTAGTAGTACAAATGTCAAATGCCTTACAGCTCCAAGCAATGAAATATTTGTTTTATTATTCTTTGGATTGTTTTTCAGTCACATAAAAATGAACAAGGAATATGGGGAATACTCTAGTAGTAGTACAAACGTCAAATACCTTAGAGCTCCAAGCAATGAAATATTTGTTTTATTATTCTTTGGTTTGTTTTTCAGTCACATAAAAATGAACAAGGAATATGGGGAATACTCTAGTAGTACAAACGTCTAATGCATTACAGCTCCAAGGAATGAAATATTTGTTTTATTATTCATTGGTTTGTTTTTCAGTCACATAAAAAAGAACAGGAAATATACAACAGGAGTATTACAAACGCCTTACCTATACTTATTGAGCTGACATATACAGGGCTCACAAAATGACTGAGAAGGGCCCCTTGTAAGCCCAAGACATTCCAGCGTAGAAGTTTATCACTACAGGACATGGTTCGCAGCCTTTCTCCATGCATGATACCATCCCAGGTCTGAATGTAAGGCCTGCTTTTATCAACTGGGATTGTACCTTCACCTTCAAGTGTACATTATAATGAATGGCAAGGAGGATTTTTTTATCATCATTTTATTTCCATAAATCAACTATAATACATACATTACATATGAGCAGCTTTGTTAAAAATTATTATTACCCACTTTGACAATAGTAAAAATAAGAAAATAACAAGGGCTTAAGTGATCAGATAAAAAATACTACAGTGGGTCACTAGTATGCAAGGAAGATTGACAGCCAGAATGCAACACCGATATTTTCCAACAAAGCTAGTGTCATTATTGTCAACATGTAACATTTATCTGGCTATAAATTCACAATCAGTAATCAAAGGATTTGAACTACAGGCCCGTAGCCAGGGGGGTCGCAGGGTTCGGGCGAACCCGCCCCTGGCCGAAAAATTATTTCAAAATCATGCAGTTTTTCACTATTTGGAGCACTTCTCAAGTGATTTTAGCCATATTTGGGCCAAAATTGTCAAATGTGATCCCCCCTGGAAACTTTTGAAAACTGAACCCCCCCTTGGCAAATCCTTGCTACGGGCCTGGAACAAATAATGTGACCATTTCTTGTGTGTTTGAATTTTTTGTTAGGTAATGAAACCAAAACTCGCAATTCAAATTCTGAAGTGAGAAAAATCGACAAATGGAGACTGTTCAATTGTGAATTCTGTACACGGCAATGATGACATCATGACACCATATATGGCATAATATCAGAATTGCATTCTGGGATCCAATCCTCCTTGAATGAATGGACTTTTAATCTGACAGTAAATAATAATAGCTTAAAAAATATTTCTAATTTCAAAGGAGAAAGATCAACAGTTTTTTTAATATTGTCTCAAGTATTAGATAGCCAAAATCCAGTATTGATGTTTAGAAAAAAATTTCAAAAGATAAAAATTCATTCACAATGCTACTTCAATAGTCCATAAGAGTTTATATATTTCTAAGATGTAACCATATTTCAAAATCATACAAGACCTACGCATGAGATACATGTACAGGTCAAATATTAAGTTTATCATTTTGAGAATAAAAGTGATAAAATCGCGAAAACTTATCTTATCGAATTATTCTACATGAATCTAGATAGGTTAATGGGTTCTAAATTATCTAATGATCCAATTAGCTTATTGTAATTACATTACATGTTAAGTATATTTCTTAAAGATAACAGGGAAGCTAATTTTAAGCTACACATTTTTAAAAGAACTTATTATGTGAATGTGTAATTTCATGACCACCAAGGACTACTGTCCCCCTTTCAAACTTTCCTCATACCTTTATACTCTGTCGGGCAAGTAAATACATACTGTAGGTGCATTAAAACGCCTCTGGGGCTTTATTTATATATCTAAGATTTGTCACGACCCCAGAAAGTGACCCATTAAAAGTCCTATAGTCAAAAAGTCACTAGAGGCGGGGCTTCCATGTCTAATAAATACAATGAATGGCAACTAATCCCTCGAGGACCATAATTCTATACATTCAGGTGCATGTTCTCTTAAAAATATGTAGTTTAACAAACTACAGGTAAGCTCTTCTCTGATCCAAAATATGATTGTCTTATATTGGTTGACACAAATAATAAATAAATAAAAATGTACATTACCATCCTCATTTTCTGCACCTAAAATAAAACAGGAGAAGAATAAAATTAATGTAACAATAAACTTCAAATCCACAACAACTTATAATAATAACACTCTTTGATTTAGCTTTGAAATCTTTGTAGATGTATTGTGCCAATTTTATAACTTAGTCTCAACTTGTCGCTAGTCGTTCCACTGAAAAAATGCAATTTTGCTTTTTTGAAAATTGACAGAGAAGTTAAGCTCCAAATTAAATTTTGAGTATTTTTTCATTTTCCATTTTTGTATGAGTAAGAGCAGTGAAATCTTCAAAATGTCCATTAGGATTTTTCAAAATGTCTCATTTTGGCTAAATCTACACCAATGACAATTTTGGCATGAAATATTTGGTAAATTATCTACTTTTTCATGAAAAACGATGAAATTGGCTATTTCAAATCCATCAAATTGTATTTAAATTAAAAACATTGGATTTTTGAAATAAAATGGCAGCCACATTTTGAATTTTGAGATTGTAAATTTATGAGGTGTTATTAATTTTAATGTGACCAACCAGACTATTTAAGCTTAAAGTAATGATATGATAAAAAGATTTACCCAAAATGGCAGCCATTTTGATTTAAAAATCGAATTTGGAAAATGTCTTTGACTAAAGGTTCTATGCCCAAAAATCCCCAACTTATAAAATATTTGAACAAAATCTGATATAACTTCACTTTTTATGAAAAGCAGCCATTTAGAACTGAATGGCCTAGAAAGAAGTTCTCAGAGGACCTTTGCCCATGCGGGGTTCCAGTCTATGAAATTTTAGCCAAATAAAAACACAGGAAATTTTAATTATGAAAAGTAACTTTCAAGTCATGAAAACTCATGTTTTAACCATAAACAACATTTTTTAATTTTGCGTAATTTAACTTAATTAAACTACAAACTGATTTAGAGCGTGAACTCCACAACATTTTTACAATTTCAAATACTTACCTAGTTCTATTTTTGTTCTCAGGTTCCCTTGCGTATCATGTTGAAATGTTGGATAGTGGGCACCCGAGTTCATCAGTTCTAAATCAGCATCACTAAGAGGATTTTCTTGTCTAAATGGAGAAACTACATGTAACAATATTGTAAAACAAAACAAACATACAAGAAGGCTTAAAAAGAATTACAGGGTGTCCAAAAAAAAACAGGACCATAAGAAAGTTGAATAATTCGGTCAATTTTATATATTTTGCCTTGAAATTTTAAAATTATTTAGTTCATTCAATGTGAATTTTGTTCTGAAAGTTTCATGATAATCTGTCCATTGTGTCAAAAACTACAGTTCTTTACAAAACATGGTCAAAGTGGGCACTTCTCCTCTCTATGCACAAACGATTCCTGCTAAGAAAGTTGTTAATGACCCTGACCTATACATATCAATGTGGATGGTAAATATTGGGGTAGTTATTGCCCTCTTAAGATTGTTAGGGGCCTGTCTGTATACACATTGGGCTTGAGAAATCCCCAAAGATAAAAATTTGGGGGATTTAGATCTGGGGAATGAGCTGCCCATATGGTTTGCGTTCTGCAACTGATGAGCTGACCACCAAATCATTGCCTAGACCATTTCAGCATATCATTTGCAGTTTTGGGGTGGTATTGGCTTGTTGAAACCACTGCTTATCTCCTAAGATGTCCCTTCTGGTGCTTAGTGACCTCCAAAAAACTAAGTGAGAACTAACTGGTCCTTGTTCATGGTGATAGCATGTCCCCAGTCACCCTCGAACAAAAAAGGACTGATGATTCCATGTTTCCTCATTGCCACCTAGGCAGTGCATTGCTCAGAATGCAATGGATGCTGTAACACTTCATCAGGAGGAAAGTAAGCCTAAGTAGCAATTGTTCTTGAAACAAACTTGTCCATTCAGAAAGACATGTGTGTAGGAGGATCATCAACAACTTTGATCGCAGGATTAAATTGTGCATAGAGAGGAGAGGTGCACATTTAGGGCATGTTTTGTAAGGAGCTATAATTTTTGACTCAATTGGCAGATTATTGTCAAACTTTCACAACAAAATTCACATTGAATGAACTAAATAATTCTGAAATTTCAAGACAAAATATGCAAAATTGACTGAGTTATTCAACTTTCTTTCGGTCCTGCTTTTTTTTGGACACCCTGTATAAGGGATAGAGCACTACACATGGATGAATGGGTGATTCAGCTTACAATAGAGAGATTTCGCAACTCACTTATAGCGTGTTTATTATTAAATCGCTGTCTGTACATAAAAATATCACACTTATGGACACTTATGGCTGCGCAATAAATGATGACGTAATCAAACGCTTTATAAGTTATATATTATACAGTAATAATAAACATGCTATAAGTGAGTTGAGAAATCTCTCTAATGTGAGCCAAAAAATGACCCTTGAATATAACATATTTTTCAAGAGAACCCATATGAGAATGTGTAATATTTTGACTTTCATGGATTACTGTCCCCCCTTCAATTGTCTTTTCCAATGACCTAATTTTATTTATACCTTGATACATGTAACTCTCTTGTAATACACTTGATAACAAGTAAGTAAATACTACAAAGGGAAGAACTAATCCCTAGTGAACCATAATTATACATGTGTAGGAACAAATTCTTAAAAAATTTGCCCGAAAATTTGTAGCTTAATCTCCCTAATATCTCCATTAACTTACCTTGGACTAAAGAGGGCAGCATCTCCACAGGGAGCCTTACTGATGTAAAGATGAAAAGAGATATGCTCTTTTAGTCCAAGTTTAGTGGTGCCCTCTTTCTCCTCAAAAATGGAATGCACTATGCTCCCTTCGTAGAACATTTTCAATTCTTTGAGCAAATATCTGAAAAAAGACATACAGTTATAAATATCACATAGACATAACGGGTGCCATTTTATTTAGAGCATGCCCAAGCTAATCAAATCTTTCTTGATACTTGCCTACTCTTGCATCTGAGAAAACTTCAAGTTTAATGGATAAATGGTTTTCCTGAAACTTTGATGACAAGATATATGCTCACACGCCTGGATGTCCTAAAACAGCATGCTTTACCTTGTCAAATATCACTGACCCAGATGTTTGACATCTTCGAATTCCAAGTGGTTATAACACCCCTTGGAACAAATAGCTGATTTTTCTGTCCCATTACAGTGTGGTGGTTCATTCCCTGTGTGTTTTACCACGGTACCAATCAAATTTGTCTAAATATTCATTTCACAAGTAACCACACTTACAAATAACAATTTTATGGTCCTTAATGAGGTGTCTATTAAAAGAAGCTATTGATTCTTAAGTGATCTGTTTGTCTTACGTAATCGTACACTACACTAGATATATTAAGGTGAAGTTGGAGTATGCAACTACATGTAATACACTGAGAATCAAGATGGATGTTTGAGTCATATTGTAATTTGGCTTTACCTTAAAAGAGATCTTCTAGCAATCACCTCAGCATGGCAGTCATTCAGTGTACGTCCATCCATGCTTAGTCTGTCTCCGGTGATACAGGTATTACCAGTTCCCATGGCAACAACTTCTCCATCATCATTGGGTGCTATATGAAAAACAAAATTCTGTAGTTACCAAGGTGGAGTTGGAAAAACTTTGTGCTGATATTTGCATTTCAAGAGTGTAATCAAGAGAGGGCTGGTCTCTGAATGCGGGAGTTATAGAGTGGTACAAACTTATTTTTAAGGGGACCTAGGGAATTAAACAAAGCATATTTTCACCATTTCCTACGGCCATTTTCGAAATTGATTTGCATTCAACTAGGTTCATTATGATCCTAGACTACAGGTATGAACATTGAAGGAAACCATTATCAACTCAATTCTTCTAAGTTTAAGGAAATCCAGTAATATTAGAAGGGTCATTGAAACGCCACTTTGACCAGCCAAATGTGGTTGGAACAAGCAGGTGTTCACATTTCAATTCAATTTTTTCAATTTCAATTCAATTCAATTTATCTTATATTTATCATTTCAAGGTTTATTTAACAAAGAACCCAAATGGAGATTAGAAAATTTGGACGATGAGAAAGTGTTCATATTAAGAGGTGTTCATATTAAGAGGATTACAAATGTGTTCAAACAGTGAACATACTTCTTTTTATGATGAATGTAGCCAGGATTTTGCGTCCAGCATAGTGTTCTGGTACTGCCATGAGGTGTTTGTGCAGACAACTGTGACTTAGAGCAGCCATCTTGTCATAGTGACCGAGTTCTTCTTTCACTTCCTCTGGCTGCAAGGTAGGTAACAACTCAAAAGTTCAAAGCAAATTTTGGAGGAAATTCCATTTTTGACCAAGAAATCCCATTTAACATAAGCAAGGTAACAACTCAATGTACCAAGTTCAAATTTTGAAGGAAATTCCATTTTTGACCAAGAAATCCAATTTAATGAGTTATTTATGTTAATCTTTAGATGATATAAATATTTGGGTAAGTTGATATAAATCCTATAAATTGATTGGTTAATGCATGGGAGACCATGTTTAATGAAATATTTTGAACTGTAGCATCAGAAAAAAAACTTCCAGTAGTTTTTTAAAAATCTGAGATCTTTAAGTAAATGGACTTCACCTTTTATATTAAAGGTATAGATGGTGCTGAGATATTTTTACATTTTCTTTAAAAGCTAAATTACCATATCATAAGCTAGAAGGAAAAAACAGATACATCAAAATCATATTACCTTATCATAAGCAAGAAGTATAGACACAGCTACATCAGCTGCCTCTCTTTTTGCATCTTTTTTATTTGGTGCAGCAGCTGAAGCTACACGCATGCCATCTATGTGTACAGTTGCAGAGAACCTTTTGGTACAGGTAAAATGCAGATAACTTGGTTATTTAAGATGTAGGGTTTACATATGATTACAGTTTGAGAGAACAATAGGAATTCAAATACATGTTCATGTGAGATTTCAAGTTTTTTACTGTAGATAGATAACGAGACCAAAAAACGCGCTCGAATTGACAGGTTTTCAGATAAGAAAATTTCCAATTTTTACTGTCGATAGATAACGAGACCAAAAACGTGCTCAAATTGACAGATTTTCAGATAAGAGATGTGTTTGAATAAAGAGGTTTAACTGACTTTTAATTACATACCCACTTTGGCCTGGGATGTCCTCGATTTCTATTGTAAATGGTTTCTTCCGAGACTGACAATATTCGTGTAATACAGACACTGGGTTCTTACTGAGGGCAGCGATTGATGTACTTTGCCCATGTGCACCTACAATGATACATACTTCATTAGTTATTTATCTTATCATTGCAGTGATCTCCCAGGATTTTTTCTCAGGTGGGAGCAAAATTCTCATTTTCACAATTCAGGCCAAATTTGGTCAAAATATGCCCATTTTTCATGATTATTCTCATTTTCAAGTGGGTGCAAATGGATTTTCAGGTGGGTGCAAGCCTATTTTCAGAGTCTCAGGTGAGTGCTGCACCCACTTGCTTTAATGCTGAGGAGATCACTGCAAAGTGTAGGGCAATTCAAAGTATTATACAGTATAATTAAAATTGTACATGATTATTGTACATTACATGATATAAATCAAATTTGCACCAAAATTCTATAACTGGTACAGTGTTTAAGATGTTATAAAAAATATTTTACATGAAAAATAGGAGTCATTTTGAATGAGTCGCCATCTTAAAAATTCTTTCTTGAGCAGAGTCCTATTATGTTCCTAAATATGAACCAAATCTGTCAACTGGTATTTGAGTTATATCAAACATATGAAAAATGGCAGTCATTTTTAAATTTTTTCTTCAACAGAGCTCCTATGTCCCAAGATGTATCAGCAAAGAAAAAATTTGAATCAAGCTGATCAACTGGTTGAGTTATCAAACGTAATATTTTTTATGCCATTATTTTTTTTATTGCCATTATTTAGGCATGGCATAAAAAAATTGGCAAAAGCTTAAAATATGTCAGCATAACATTTTCATAAAGTTTGATTTCTCTTTCTGTAAGTTTAAGACTATTAAATTTTTCGGAGTATTTGGTTTCAGAGTAATGGCATGAACCCCTAAATTCAAAAATTTTTGAAATTCACGAGCCATCTTGAGAATTCCTTTTTGACAGAGCTCCTATCTCCATTAATACCTGCTTATAAAATTTGAACAAAATCGTCAACTGGTATATGAATCATTAAAGATTACTTGTTACAAAAAATGGCAGTCATTTTAAATAACTGGCCATACTGAAAAAATCCTTCTTAAGCCCCCCCCCCCCATATTGGCATAAGGCTATAACATTTGAACCAAATCCATGAATTGGTATTTGAGTTATTACCCAAACAAATGGAGAGATGAACATATCCCTATGAATTTCGTTCAGTGGGATAATAATGGCAAGACTTTTCATTGGCATACGTTAATACAGTATATACACCATTGCTCATAATATGGGATATTCTATGAATGTTATAAAAATGTAATTGCATGAGAGTATTCAAGAGTGATTGTTCTAAAATAACTGTATTCAAGGAAACCTTTATTAGTCTGAAGAATATGCTATTTTACCAGAATATTCTCAAAGATTTGAATGAATTCTAATGAATAAGTCCTGGAAAATGAAACATGTTGTTAGTTATAACTGTGTTAAGTTTCTTTTTCCTGACAGGTTTGTGAAAAAATATTTGAAAAATCTCCATTCATTAAAATTTGAGAGGGCATTGAAAATGAGGAAATCAACGGTAAATTTGAAAATAATCCATATTTATGAACAACGGTATATATTTGTTTTATCATCCAGATGTGAACCATTGTCTTTTCTTATCAGCAAAACATGATATGACATTACAGTCATATTTAAAATATTAGTTCACAATACTGTTCATATCAAGAGGAGTGAAGCATTTTTTTTATAATACAATACGATATATTATTCTTTTTGCATATAGGTTATTTACAGATCAAAGATACTCTGAATAAATATAGGTAATATTTGAAAGGTTTTTATATCTGGATATCCAAACTGAGATAAGATGAGTGAAGTACAGTATGGTGGTGATATCAATTATAAAAATAGTACCATGGGTACTGGGCTCACATGGTGTTGCTCAAAAAGAGCCATTTTGAAAATAGGCATGTTTTTGAACTGGAACTCGTGGGGAGGATTTCTGTATTGATGAACCAAATGAACTTAAAATGGGAATCCTATCAATAGTGGTTTTAAAACATGCCACTATTATGACAAATGGATAAAAAAAAGGGGATATAAATTTTTGTAGATTTTTTTACAAAATCATTTAATAAAACTATTTACAGTGACATTGGTTTTTACAATGATGAAAACCTGAAATTATTTATAAAGCTACTAAATGGAGCAAAGGTGAAATGGTGGCCATTTTGAAAATAAGGGAGCTATTGAACAGGGAGTCATAGGGGGGAGGGGGGTTACTGTATTGATGTTGAACAAAAATAACTTAAAACAGGAATCCTACCGACAGATGTTTCAAAATATGCCATTATTGTTGACAGCCTGATGGAAAGACTGACAGACGGACAGACACACAAGTGAGTGATATACTCTAATAGTTACCATGGGCTTTCAAGAGACATTGAAAGCCCATGTAACTACCTGTAAATTATAGCCCACTGTTATAATAGTGATGAAAAACAGGAAACTAATGAATCAAGTAGATGAGTAAAGCCGATCTACTTCCTTGAATACTAATACCTACATGTACACCCAAGTACCGTAAGTAATTTACAAGTAAGTACTTTAAAATCAATATTTGCTAACATCATGATAAACCATGACATCTCATTTTTTCTCAGCCTTTAGAGTTGGCGAAACACAAAGATACTATGAGTATCAGAATGTTTTAATGTTAAACTTGGATAATATATGTAGCAATAAGTGGAATTGTAGTCAATGGTCTGTCTGCATTACCAACGAATTGAGAAATTAAGTCCAACCATTTAAATTACTATTGCTAATCTTGGTACATTTTTATCTGATTAAATGACACATGACAGTCAATATAGTATAAAACTTCACTTGTCTTTTATTAAAGAGAGAATCAGATCTAGCGAGCGGCCAAACAAAAACTTGTTTCAATTTTAGAATATTTCTGGCTAATGTCATTCCTTTTCATGTCTATTTTCTAAAAATCCCCAAAGTGCATACTTTATATCAGGAAAACTAAAGATTTTTACAATAATGCATTTTCAGTTGGAATGATGTTGAAAACGATAGCATCGAGGAAGGTCCAAGTATTAAAGCTGATCATTGGAGTCGGTATTATTGTCACTTTGGCGATCTACTTGTTCCCAGGCTACTTTGTACATCCTAATGTAAGACATGTCAGCAATGTCAACCAAACAACAATCTTAATGATGTATCATCCCGATAAATTTACACAAGAACAAATCAATGACATGTTCAGTGAATGCCCAGATTTGAAATGTGAGTTTACACATGACGAGAGCGCAATTGAAGACAGTGTTGCTGTCTTATTTCATTATTTTGAACCACATGTGTATTCAATGCCGAAGCGACAGCCCGGACAAATTTGGTTGTATTATAACCTTGAAAGTCCACCATTAATGGCTAACGAAATCGCAACGTATGTAACTAATCAGAAAATGTTCAACGGTACCATAAACTACTATCCATCAAGTCTGGTTTGGCTTCCATATGGGAAATATAATGGCACTCATATATGGACATACAACGTGATCTATAACATGTTTTTAGATACCAGAATTGACTTCGCGGCAAGAAAAAACAAACTTCTGTTCTGGGCTGTCAGCAACTGTAACCCACGAAGTAACCGACAGGATTATGTAAAAGAGCTAGGCAAGCATGTTCCAGTGGATATCTACGGTGGATGTGGCACCCTGAATTGTCCAACATCAAATGACTGTGAAAATACTCTTTTTAAGACATACAAGTTTTACCTTGCATTTGAGAATAATATCTGTCAGGATTACATAACAGAGAAGTTGTGGCTAGCACTTGCAATAAGAGAGGTGGTACCCATAATTCTTGGAGGTGCAAACCATGAGAAATATCTACCACCAAAGTCTTATATTGACATTCGTGATTTTACTTCACCAGCCGATTTAGCGAACTATTTACAGAAACTAGACAAAGATGATGACTTGTATAATGAATATTTTTCATGGAGATACAAAATATCACCTGTCTTTGATTTTCAAAAAGCAACACCAAAACAGCCTTTGGAGTACTACATTTGCCAGGTGTGTAGGCTGATTCATACACAAAATCTGACCAGTACTTATGTAGATTTTGTAGATATAAACAATGAAAAGAAATATTGTAGAAACCCATCTGAATACTATAAAGGTTTATTGTGAGATAAAAAGATTTATTCTATGAAGAGTTTTAGAGAGATAAGTTGGTAAGATATGTCCTGTATCCTGATTCTGAGGCTCCAGAAAGTTGAACAAAATTTTTGAAAACAAAAGTTGAAAAATTTAAGAAAAAAATGTGAAAAAAATAGAAAAAAATTCTAAAAAATGTGAAAAAATTTTGATAGGATAAAGCCGTAATGTACGACTTGTTTGGATATGGGGTTTATCACTATTGAGAATTTCACATCTACCTTCCGTCCCTATGGTTCCTCAGGTAGATATGCATATATCCCTCTGGATAAACCCCATATCCAAAACCTCCCAGTGCATAACCCCTATATATTCAATGCAAACCTGGTATGTATTCATCATTGGTATCTTCTTCTTGGACGGCTGGTCTGCTAGGCTCATTAACATTGCTCTTCATCACAATCTTACGTCCATGAGAATCAAATAGTACTTTACCAGATTCTGAAAATGGTGAAATACATGTACAGATATCAAATACAGCATTATATTAAGTACACTGTAACTCTTTAGTCCAAAAATGTACTATTACATGTACATGTATACATTTAAAACCACTTCTATCAACCAGCATAGTTGCATTTCTCTAAAAAATGATGACCATTTTAAATTAGGTGGTCGTATTGAAAATTAATTCTCTACTAGAGATTCTACACCCATATAAGTCATAAATGAGCTTAAATTTAAACTCAATTTGTCCACTAGTATTCAAGTTATTGTTGAACAAATAGACGAAAGATGGATAACAAATGGCTGCTTTCCCTTCTGAACTTAATCGGTTGGATAATACAGGGTGACACAAAAAAAGCCTGGATTTTCCGGGCAAAATTTATACTTCTAGTGGAGTTGCTCCATTGAGTCTACTTTATTTAATATGCTAAAGAACAAGTAAGAAATGGTACAGACAAATATGCATACTATTATATGAGTGGTCTTTTTGTGTCACCCTGTAAGTAGAAATCCTAGACATTGAGACAATTACCTTTTTCATCTTCAACATCATCCTCTTCAACACCTAAGAGTGCCGTGAATGCAATCTTTGCCGCATTTGTTTTCGCTTCTTTCTTCGTCTTCCCCGTTCCCTGAGGGAATTTACCAATGCCTTCTATCTCACAATAATTGGCAAAACGGTCCACGATGGATGGATGATCAACGGAGGTTTCATGAAATGTGGTCGTGTACCTCACCATGGATGAATACTCCATTATTGCACTCACCGGATTTTTCTTCCCACTTAAGAATGCATCGATCAATGCTTTTGGTACTTTCTTAGGGGTGCTTTTAGCTGGCTGTTGCGTGATACCTTGAGTTTGTGTTGCTAGAGTGGGGGGCAGGGAAGCTGAGGAGGGAGGAGCTTGCGTAAGACCAGGGATGTATTTCTGTTCTCTTTGTGTGGTATATGCAGTGGTATGGGCCGTTCTGGACATCGTAGGTGCCTGGAGATTAAAAAATTGTAATCATAAGACACACAGTGGTAAATATCGCACCTTGAAGGGCAAAATGGCATCATGTTATTTACCCATCACGCTTGAAACCAAATCAGATGTTGACACTTTTAGTCTCTTCTTGAATCATAAACACTTTCAAGTTGATCGAATAATTAGCATTTTCCTGGAATTCTGATGGCAAGATTTATACATGCCAGCCCAGGATTACTAGACAAAGTGGTATGAAAACAGATATTCCATGCAGTAGCAAATAATTCCAAACTGAACGTGTAAATCAAATCACCCTCCCCCATATATAGCTCAAAGCCAAAATGTCAAACTCAAGAAAATTGGCAGTATTCTGTAATGCGCATATATACAGGGTGTCCAAAAACACAGATGCTGCCCTTAGTTACTGCATGGATCCTGTTCACATTTTCACAGCATTTATTTTCTTGTAGTGTTACAATAAATGCAGCATTAAAATTATCAATGAAAACTCTCAAGCAAAATCAGTCATTTTATTTTTGAGACAACCTGTGATCCATCCTATCCATCCCAGACATTTAGGAGCTGTTTCATTTGGGACATCCTGCGTATGAATTTACCTTTATTCCAGCCCCCTCTTTTGGGACACCCTGTATATAAACATACCTTTATTCCTGTTCCCTCTTTTGGGACACCCTGTATTGGAATTTACCTTTATCCCTGTCGCTCCAGACATTTAGGAGCTGTTACTTTTGGGACACCCTGTATAATGAACTTACCTTTATCTATGTCCCCTCTTTTGGGACACCCTGTATGAACTAACCTTTATTCCTGACCTGTCAAGACATTTAGGAGCTGTATATGAACTTACCGTTATCCCTGTCCCCTCTTTTGAGACACACTGCTTCATAAGCATTTGCATTACTGTCCCCTTTTTTGGGACACCCTGTATAGGAACTTACCTTTATCCCCGTCCCCTCTTTCGGAACACCCTGTATATGAACTTACCTTTATCCCTGTCCCCTCTAGACATTTAGGAGCTGTTGTAGGTCTCCTCAGTCCTCCTTGTTGCTGTAGACTGATCTGGTAGAACATGTCCTTCGAGATTCCATCTCCATGTGCCATGTTGTCTAAAATATAAATAAACATGTGACTTGGTATATTATAATCTAGTAATATAAGTGTTAAAAACAAAACAAAATTTGAATTAATGTCAGTTAATAGAACTACATGTATTTAGATGTGTTAATATTGTCCTTGTCAGAGCAGTAAGAGATCTGAAAATACAGAATGGTAACAGAATGGTAACCACTAACCAGGGCTCTCACCAGGAAATATTTAGGGTGTGGTGCTAACATCTTCAGATTAACGGTTCAATCGTGATAAATCATTTTTATGATATGTTTTATCCTTTTTACATGCTATTATTGTATATTCAGTCAAGTTTAGACTGTGGAAACAGTCATGATTTGCCAATAGGGTGTGGAGGGAGCTAAATAGAGTGTGGTGCTGCGCCACAGTCTAAAAGCCTGGCGAGAGGCCTGGTAACAGATCTGTTAACCCTTTCATGACGTGAATATAAAAGGAAAATGTTGGCCCTGGAGACGGATAAGTAAGAGCGGTTTTTAGGGGAAACTGCAAATAACCTATGCCCCAGGACCTATACCTTGAATTTTATCACTGAAATACAATTTTGTAGTAAGGATTATCACATTAGAACAACTTGTCAAGAAGTGATGTAAAAATACTGCATAGAACTGGAGATATTGTCATTTCATTGATGTATATGAATAAAAATAATGGTGCCAAAAGGAGCCTATCGTCCTGAAAGGTATTACATAATAGGGCTCCATATGGAGCCTATCGTCGTGAAAGGGTTAATATTGTTCCTTAAAGAGGAATGTTGCAATAGGAAAGCACAATCAAGACCCCCTGGACTTTTTGCATGTTGAGCCGTACCACATATTCACCTATCTACTTAATCACCAACAAAGAAGACCAAAATTGGCGCTTTATGTGCTAATTTTGCGATTGTGCCGACCAGTCGAATTATTTTCTTCAAAAAAAAGTTATCTAAAACTTTAAAATCAGATTTAAAGCCAGTTGTCAATTTCTTTAAGAATTTCCAGACCTGCCATTTACAGAGTTCCTTTGGTTACTTATCCAATGCTGCATACCATGGGCATCATTGAAGGCCCAAGTGCATACTAAACAAAGGAGGAGGGAAATTAACGCAACAGATTTTGGACAGTCATATGTTGGATTTTGGCCATTTTCTGAGGATTTAAACAGGTGCATATGTTAGGCCAATGCATTACCTCCAGGAAAAGCACTTCTAGAGATGATAAAATAATTTCAACTTTAAGACAGGGCAGATGCAAACAACCCACCCAAATTTTTTTCTGAAATGTTTTTAATTTTTCTTGCAGCAATATGTTGCGTTTTGACACACAATTAACCCCTTTAAAGGAATAAGTGATTCCTTTTAGATAAAGTGGAAAACAATATTCCCCATGTTATTTTCCGATAGGGAAGACTCATGCGATCCATTGCTTTCAGCTAATTTTGGTCACCCATAATGGATATCTTTAAAACCCCTGAAGGAATCACCTATTCCTTTCAAGTGGTTAACTGTGTGTCAAAACGCAACATATTGATACAACAAAAATTGTAAAAACAGGGGTGGATGGGGTTGAAAATCAGAACAACATTTCAGAAAAACATGTGGGTGGGTTGTTTGCACCTCCCCTGTCTCAAAGTTGAAATTATTTTATCATCTCTTTGAGTGCTTTTCCTGGAGGTAAAGCATTGATCTAAGATATGCACCTGTTTAAATCCTCAGAGAATAGCCACAATCCATATGACTGTCCGAAATCTGTTGCGATACTTTCCGTCCTCCTTTGATGACCAATCAGATATAAACATGTGGATTTCTCCTGTTTATTCAAGTTTCAGATAATTAATTTGGATGAAAATAATTTGACCGGTCAACACAATCTCAAAATTAGCACATAAAGCGGTAGATTCAGGGTTTTTTTCATTGGTAAGCTAGGTGATTATGGGCAACAAGGCCTGTAGAGACAAAATAGGAAAATTTGAACTTTTTCTGAGCTATCAATAAGGCAACATTTGGCTTAACATCTTCTTTGAAATACCTATTTTCTTAAAATGTATGGATAAACTATCAATTTCTTAAAATGTATTGATAAACTATCAATTTCAGCATAAAGAGGTGAAAATTCAGTTCAAAACTTCAGAAAGGGGAAATCCACTTTTATATATTTTTAAGATCCTCTATGTTTCAAGAGGAATATCAGCTGAAATATCTAGGGTGTTTCTTTGTAGATAATAAAATAGATTTAAGACTTGATGAAATGTTCAAAGTTAAATATATTTTGACACTGGTCCATGGTAGTTGAATGGCCCCTATGCACTAATTGTTGCACCTTTATGCGAATATGTGGTACGACTCAACATGCAATAAAGTCCAGAGGGGTCTTGATTGTGCTTTTCTATTGCAGCATCCCTCTTTACTTGGTGTATTCAACTCTTTTCATTTTTTATACATGTTCTAGGGCCTATGTGAGCTTAGGACTGCAGGATCTACATTGTACAATAAAATTTTAAATGTTTGGAACTACGACTAGAATCTAAAAAATAAGCAATTAAAGGACCATATTGACACAGAATATGTAGAAATAGAAACATTTATACATGTCCTGACTTTTGTATATTTTAGTTTGTTTTGTAGTTTAGCTATCATATCTGTGGCCTCTTATATTTTGATGCTTCTCTGCCATGTTATTTTGGAGAAAATTAACATGGCTGAAACTCCCTAAATTACAAAGCCAAGGGCCACAGCTTTGCTGCACATTATACACAACTATCTGAAATATACAAAACCTAGGACTTGTACATGTTTCCATTTTTTTCTTATACTGTTGCAATATAGTCATTTGATTGCTTATTTTTAGACTAGTTCCAAACATTTACAGTGTTGATATATAATAATAAAGGGTGCATTTTCAAACTAAACAGAGTGCTCCTACCAAAATGAATTTGCCTACATACAGTGTACCCTTGAGACTCTTATCTGATAGATAGAATGCACAAATAATTCAAAAGTTTTGCTATTATAGGTAAAAAGTTCTCTCGAAATTTAGAAGTGATTTTACCTGTTAATTCTGTCCATGGTCCGCCATTTTTGCGGAAGTTACACTGAAACGCAAACTCCATGAAGCGAAACAAAATCACGAGAAAACAAATGGCACACATTGCGCGCATATGCAGCAAAGTTTAAACCAATCATATTATTTGATTATTTTGCGCACATGAATTATTTGCTTCTGAGCACTTACAAGCTTACCACAATAAACAAACCTGGCAGAGACTACCCTTAGCCTACTTCATTTTGGCAAAAGTTCAGCTCAAACTCGTGACAAATGCATTATGCATACGCTTTACTCACTTCGAGAGCCATGTTAGATTTTGAAACTTATGGCTCTCAAACGGGGAAGTGAACAGCTGATTAATAGTGACCTTTGAAATCGAGTTAAGGTGCTATGGAAGTTAACAGGAAATGACAAAACAGGAAGTGACAATTTTTTTTGCATTTTTAGATATTTTTTGAATAAAGATAACAGAGTTCTGGTTTGACCTCCAGTCAATTTAACTATTTTCAAATATCATTTACATGACCAGGATCACAATGTGCATGGTCAGAATGACCCTAAACATGATGAAATAACCTTTTTAGCCCTTTGAAAGTGTGACTGAAAAAAAGCTAAAAGTAGGAGCGTAAGGATAGTCACTGAACAGAATCTTTTGAATTTTCCAGAAAATGTGCCCAATATAATGCTCTAACTAGTACAATCTTTGAAATTTTAGAAAATTGTCTTAAACAAAAATGGCGGTCATAAAAAGGAAAATAGATCGCTTTTCAAATCAGTTTTTTCATTTTTTTTCTTTTTCTATGAATGATATCAAATTTTCAAAGATTGTATCATTTAGAGCAATATATTGGGCACATTTTCTGAAAAATTCAAAAGATTCTGTTCAGTGACCTTCCCTACGCTCCTACTTTTAGCTTTTTTTCAGTCACACTTTCAAGGGGCTAAAAAGGTTATTTCATCATGTTTAGGGTCATTCTGACCATGCACATTGTGATCCTGGTGGAAATTGTTAAATTGACTGGAGGTCAAACCAGAACTCTGTTATCTTTATTCAAAAAATATCTAAAAATGCAAAAAAAATTGTCACTTCCTGTTTTGTCATTTCCTGTTAACTTCCATAGCACCTTAAGGGTAGGTGTAAATTTTTTCGAAACAAATGCGTGATATATACCCAAATTTTGTACAAAATGCGTGACATAAACGGCAATCGCGTGCAAAGGTCGAACGGAATGCGTTCACTTTTTTCGCTGTTTGGTATTCTACCGTACCGGCATTTCACAAAAAACGATTTTTAAAAATATCAACAAAATGCATGATTTGCGTGATATTTGATCATACACGCTAAATTGATGCGTGATTTCTATTTTTCCAGCAAATGCGTGACGATCACGCCTAATGCGTGAGGGTTGACAGGGCAGCATACAGTGATAAATAGATCTACAGTGTATCATGTAAGCTTACATGTAGGCTATAATTAAATTTAGAAAAAATTAAAAAAAGATTTTGCGTTGCAAACTTGGCTTCATCTTTATTTTCCTTACCTTTTTTCTTCTACGTTTTAAGATTAATGTTACTTTGAAAAGAAAATACTTGTCATTTGAATGAACGATGCATATCAGTCACTGTTCAACACTTTCCTTCGGAAAATCTTTGAAATCATGTAAACCGGAAAACACTGACCGGAAGAATGATTCACATTTGGTTCGTTCAGTGCAATCTTGCTTCCCGGGTCTTGCCTCAGAAAAAGGCAACTCCATGGAGTAGCAAACCCCAAAGAATATAATATTCATTAATGTTATATCCGATATTATATTTACCATTTACTCTACCTTTGAGTTCAGTGGTTGATCCAGAAGCTAACAAAAGGGGGCACATTAATTTGATTCAGTAAAAAATCTTGGGCTAAAACGTGACCTAAAATTGGGCCCAAAACTTGAAAATTTGGCCTAACCAGACCTAAGAAGGCCAAACTACGCCAAAAAGGCCAGTTTTCGAGGCCCTATCAGACTGGGGCCCTAAAAAAATGTGGGCCCACAAAGTCCGCCCCCCCCCCCTCCCCCTGGATCCGCCACGGGAGTTGCAGATAATAAAAGACGGACATTAACTTTAATTGAACAAATCACAAATGCCTATTTTTTTCAATATTCTGACTTTTAATTTGTGTTAAAAACACAAAAATACATTTCACATGAGCCATGGCTTATGTCTTAACAATTTTCCTTGCTGCAGATATGGACCCTGAAAGACAGATTTGAATTTAACACATTTTCCTAATGTTTGGCACATTTTGGGCTCTGAAGCACAAGTTTTACTTTTTTGGCGATTGGACCAGTTTTCCTTTGTTGAGGCTCTACTTGTAGGCTAAGTTGTGTGATCTAATGTACAGTAACCTCAGATGAAACTAAATCGTCCCTCTACTATTAAAAGGTTCTATGTCCTCATGTACCATATTTGAGAAAACTGGGAGCAAACATTTAGGTATCTCTATCTTTGTGATACGGTAAAATAGAATGTTGACATGAACGCGTATGCATCATATAGCCAAGACGAATCATTCCTGATCAGGATGGCAAGAAATGCCAATTTTTAAGGCTACTTTTTAAAAAAAATGCTTTTAGAGATGGGACCTTTTGCGTCTGTAACACAATAATGAGTTTAAATGATGGAGATAGAACCCTTTCTTATCCTGGAATAAAGGGCTTGTCAATTAGATAAAGCTATTTTAAAGGGGCAACAAGGACTGTGGAGGGAAAATTCAAATGTTTTTAGTTTTTCTGAGCTATTGGGGCAACATTTGGCTTAACATCTTCTTTGACATACCTATTTTTTTAAAGGCCCCATGTAAAGTTTAAACCACTTTGGCTTATATTGTAGTCTTACCCAATGTTATCAAAGTGTGATATGTGAAACTTTTTTTTTAAATTTCAAAAAGTGGTTTTTGATAGACTTTTTGTTCCAAAATTTGTGAATTTATTTAAAACCAACTTTTAGAGGTCACTCATATCTTCTAATTAGCCACAATTCATATCAATGCATAGCATTCATCCTCCCATGTTTTTTGCCGAAAAAATTAAGAAAATCGGTTGATAAACAAGCAAAAATTGAACTTATCGGTGCATGAAAATGGTTCTGAGAAAAATGCATTTCAAAATTTTAGTTCTCATAGAAACCAATGGTACAAAGATATTTAAAACATAATTTATTCTTCCTTTTTACCTGGTTAGACAATCAACATTGGTTTTTTATGAAAGTCTAACATATTTAGAAAAGATTGACATCGAAAAAGAAATTTGAATTTTTTTCAAAAAGTTTTTGGTACCTTAGTGACATCACTAATGTTTCAAAATATTTTTGATATGTTAAAACATTGAAGTGGCCCATTAAATATGGCATTTTATTATTGAAATAGTGTGTCCTTTGTTCAACCTTTGCATTGGTGTTAAAAAGATAATCTTTTTGAAATCCATTAAGAAATATTTGATGATTAAGAAATTTCAACTTTTTTTGAAAAATGGCGGGAAATTTGAATATTTGAGAAATGAAATGCTCACAACTTTTTTTTCAAAATTTTTTTTTTGTTCAAAAATCTCTAAAATCACTTTTTAAGTCCTGACAAATAGTAAATGAATGAAAAAAAAATATTTTCAAACTTTAGACGGGGACTTTAAATATATGGATAAATTATCAATTCCAGCATTAAGAAGTGTAAATTCAGTCCAAATCTTCTATAAAGGCATTCCCACTTATATATATATAGATTTTTACGATCCACCATGTTTGAAGGGGAATATCAGGTGAAATAATGTTCATCCAGGTTTTTTTTGGAGATAATAAAAATATGATGTGAGGCTTGATGAAATATCCAAACAAAATATATTTCGACGCTGGTCCATGATCGTTGAATGGTCCCTCTGCACTAATTGTTGCACCTTTAAAGAAGCAAGCCACACAATTGCGAAGGGTAAACTTTTATATACCCAGAGCAAACATGATAAGGCATGATAACATTTTCTGCTTTAAAAGGAGGATGGCATTTTTGTGTAAAATACACGGGCGCTCCTGCAAAGGAATAGATGACACATCTTGTAATGCTCATAAAGGTGCATCTAATTCAGCTAGTAATCTGAAACTTCCCGTGGGGCTGCTCCATGGAGTAAGGTTTTACTATGCAAAAGGACATTCATCCCGATAAAAAAGTTATGCCACATTTAACATTATGTGTGTGGGTGTCATTTTGTTTGTGTCACACTGTATATACACACTCACTGTTCCACAACTGGATGACTCTAACTGCAGTTAGCTTCATTCAAGATGGTGGACAAAATTCGTTCGTTTTCGATAAATCTCCAATTACAGCCAAACCAAGCTGAATCTCGATCCCAAAAGTTTCGCCATGCAAACTAAAAAAGATATAATTGTAAACAACCACAATTAAAGGCTCAAGCACCCGCGATATTAGAGAAATTGAAAGAAAACGGCTTCACTTAGAATGACTCTAACTGAGGTTGATAATGAAGCTAACTCCAACACAGATTTTCACCATTGATGACTCTAACTGAATGGAGATTTATAATGGGCTATACAAATTACCAATAAGCAGTTCCGTAACCAGGGGAAGCTGGAGGTTCGGTAGTTTCCCCCTCGCTGGCCAGAAATTATTTCAAATTCCCGCAGGTTTTCACCACTCTGAGCACTTTTCGCACGATTTTCTTAACAAAACTATCAAAAAGCACCCCCCCCCCGATTCGAATAGCACCGGAGAATATTATCATTCTAAATTGTAAGCGAATGATGGATAAATTGTATACAATGATGTAACAACCTACCCTGCGTGCAGAGTCTAGTTAAACTGAAGACGAAGCTCTCTTTTAAGAAGTGAAGTCCAACGAATGCAAAGGGTAGTAACAACCTGAATATTGAAGACATGCAGTTAAAGGCAATGTTCATTTTTATTTGTTCAGTGCATTATCAAAATAATATAAGTGTATACGGTTTACTAAATTATTGCCTATGACAGAATTCACCTTCTTATTCTCCCTTTTTTAAACTTCGAACACATTTCCTTAATTAATTAGATTATTTGTGAGAGACTGTGTTTTGTCATACGCACTGGGCTTTGTCTTGTTATGTAACCACGTGACCACAGATGATGCCTTCCCATGATACTGGTGGTTAATTGTTCTGTGTAAATATTAAGTAGTTGGTGTGGTGTATAGTGTTGGGAGTGGTGGCTTAGACCATGTCTTGAGACATTACCTTTTATGGACACGCATGGTCATGCAATCTGTGTCAATTGGTTAGAGGTCTCGTTGATTGGACCTGGGAGATATGGTCTAGTATCTAAGTTTCCCCAAACCATCGTCAGTTCTTATGTGACAGGTAGAGTATATTTAGTTGATCCAAAGAAAAAAGGTTAAGAATATAGTGAGGGTTACTTTTTCCTGTTCAGGTTACGCGTTTCGCGGGATTGTTATTGGTTTCTAGAGAATGTTGTTTTGCTGGGTTAGGTTTTGTTTTGGGATTGTCTCCAGTTGGAGACAGTTGGTTGGGTGCTAAGTAAATTGGTATCATAGTTTGGTTGTGTTTGTAGATTGTGCCTGATTGTATTTAATAGTGTAATTCAATTGATTTAGTATTGGGTTGTGACTGACTCTGTTACTGTGGTTGGTGTCAGGTTGTGTTGTAATGATTCAACAATGGGTTGATTTGAATTCGGTCTCGTTGGCTATGTTGTATTGTGTTGGTTTGTTGTTTGGTTGTGTTCCATTGTGTTAGTTTGATAGTCGATTGTGTTTTGGTGGTTGTTTGTCTGGTTGAGCCTGGTTGTGTTGTGTAAGTTTGGTATCGGGTTGTGTCTCATTGAGTTATGTTAATTTCAAAGTGGTTGTGTTATGTTGTAATTGTGTTGTGCTGGTCGGTAGCGGGTTGTGCCCAGTAGGATGAAGTATGTGGTTGTGTCAGATTGTGTTGCGTGATTGGTGTTGTTTTCAGAGAGTGTTGGTTGGGTGTTTTCGTGTTCCAGTTTGGTTGTGCCTGATTGTGTTTTGATTGTTTTGTGTAAAATTGTGTTGTTCTTCGTCAATAATGGGTTGTGTTTTGGTTGTGCCAAATTGTGTTGCATATATTTGACAATTGGTTGTGTTTTCGGAGGTTAAACTAAGGTTGTAGTATTGGGTTGTGTCGTATTGTGTTGTTGGCTTGTAGTTGGGTTGTGTCTGGTTGTTTATTTAGCCTGGTTTCGAGTTGTGCCTTATTGTGTTATGTTAATTTTAAAATGCGTTGTGTTATGTTGTGATTTTGTTATGCTGGTCGGGGGGCAGGTTGTGCCCAGTCAGGTTAGGTATCTGGTTGAGTCCGATTGTGTTATGTGGTTGGTTGTGCCTGATCGTTAAATGAGGGGTGGTGGCGGGTTGTGCCCGATTATGTTAAGATAGGTGGTCGGTTGTGCCTAGTCGGGTGAGTTTATTTGGTTGTGTTCGGTTGTGTTGTGTGATCTCTCTGTGTTGGGGTTTTAGTTTGGTTGTTCCTGATTGTGTTTTGATAGTTTGGCTTTGTTGTGTGGTTGTGCCAAATTGTGTTGAGTTAATTTGACAGTGGGTTGTGTTCTTGGTAATTGTGAGTTCAGCTGCGTTCTAATTCTTCAGACATTGGTTGTGTTGCGTTGTTGGTGATCTTA